AATACCACCTCATGCATGTCTGTCCATAAAATTAAGTTAATTAAAATAGGCTTAGATAACAGTTCCATTAAGTAGACTGAAAAGTGGCTCCAGGTGGCTCCTCTTCACACGCCCTGGGTCTGCTCTGGAAAGGCTTGATAGCTGAGACGACACTAGAGTTAACGGTGGGCTCTGTTACATGCAGTATCTTTGTTAATGATCTACAAAGGCTTTCCTGATGAATCTTAATGAAAATTGCAGAGCCTGGTCTTTCCAGGGCAGTTGCTAAAAAGGCATAGAACGATACCCAAATGTCAAGCAGGATCTGGCTGGCCCCCAACGGTTAATTGGAGCAAAGGTCTTAATCCTTGTGGCAGGGTTGTGCTGCCAAGCAACATGGCAGGACAAGGAATGAAAATCAGGGGTTGTTTTGTTTCCCTCACTTTAGGCAAGAGTACCCAAGCCCCCTGCTTGCCTCTCAGCATCTCTTCCTCCTTCTTTCTCTGTCTTGTGGTTCTTTTTTGCTCCTTTTTCCTTCCCTCCCTCCTTTGCTTCCATTTCTCCCTCTCTCTCTCTCCATCTCTCTCCATCTCTCTCTCTCTCTCTCCCTCTCCCTCTCTCGGTTTCTGTCTCTTTTTTTCCTCCCCAAACGTCCTTTCTCACCTTGCTCTGAAATGTCATTGACTACAGCATCCATAAGGCTGCCCTCCTCTTAAAAATGCAGTAATTAGAGTCATCTTTAATACATGAACAAGGATTCTTTTTGCAAAATTGTTTATCATGATGAAGATCGAATATATTTGGTAATTATAACTGATAAAGCTAATATGGACTGAATGCTTACCATGTGCCAGACACTATACTGAATAACCTTCCTGACTCACCTCACCTAATAACAACAGCCTTGTGGGCAAACTACTGTTACTTCCGCCAACTGTCCGAGGAGGAACCGGAAACTCTGATAAGATAAATAACTTCTGGCCAGTGACGCACAGCAGCAAGGCAAAGACCCCGAGGCATGTTCGTCTGACTCCCTAAATGTCCAAAGACAGGGAAATGGGGAGATAAATTTTGGCATATTACAAAAAGGGAAATGAGTAACCACGAAGCACCACGGTTTACATTAATGTTCACTGGCATAAGAAAATGCTTGTGATTTTAAAGAAATGTGCGTTGTATAGTACACACACACACCCCACACACACCCACATATATACACATCATTTAGGGCAACCTCAGTTTTTAAAATCAAGTATTACTTTATTAGAAATCAGTATTGACCAATCATATATATAGGCAAACTATAAGTCAATCTCGGTTTTTTAAAAATCTATTTTTGCAGAGAGAGAGAGGACATAGAGCTCTGTGTGGAAGATGGATGACTGGATTGTTTCTCTTGCTTTTCTCTGACTAGGGCCACGCTGTTTTTGAACAGGAATGCTGTACTAGGTCCTCCCATTACCATTCCACCCCTAGGTCAGGAAGGTAATGCTGAGGGGAGTGCAAGCAGCCGCAAGGTGCCCGAAGAGCTCTCAGCTGGCAGCCTGCATTGTGAGGTCTGATCTGGACCTCCTGACCTTGAGCAAGTGACTCCTCTCTCCACTCCAGCCTCCTTAGCTATGAAATAGGGATACATCATCCTAATGTGAGCTCAGGAAATAACAGGAACTGATTTTCTAATTTGTCTTTTGGTTCACTGCTTACATCTACAGGCGTCTTCAAGAGCTGTTTGTTGAGTGCGTGAACAAATGAGATAAATGGACTGTAACTGTAGCATAGGGTGGTTGTGAGAATGAAATGAGATCATGAAGATAAAAGGTAGAAGAAGTAACAGATATATCCTAATTCTCTTGGAGCCTCAGTTCCTTCATCTGTAAAATGGAAATTTATCATGCTTATCGGTATCGACCCATCAGAATTGTGGTGGGCATCAGAATGAAGCACTTTGTGAAGCTGCAACTTCCATGCTAGGATAAAACATGGTGGCTTTCCAGTTTTTCAAGAAGCGGTTGGGCCCCCTTACTTGGAAGGCATTCTGACTCTGAAGTCCAGGAAAGGCTATCGAATGGATCACGGTTGAAGGCAAAGTCAGGCTCCATGGCCATCGTGCATCAAACCCCCTGTACAGCGAGTGACCCCGAGGTACCCCCAGTGAACTCTGGGGTCTACAGAGCGGAGCTTGTTATGAGTCTGCTGACCTTTGGAATTAACTGGCAGAGACCGTGTCATCCATCTATTGGGCAGAGCCAGATTCAGACCCCAGTGGTACATGTACCCCTGAGCATGGCTCCTTTTTCCAGCTAAGCCATACAGGGTGGAAATGAACCAGTTAGTTTAGGTTCACACACCTGGGAAGAAATTCCAGCTACTCCACCTACATATGTGTGATGTGAAGAAAGGAATTTCTTGAAACTCAGTGTCCTCATATGTAAAATGATGCTGGTAATGACACACGGGGTTATTGTAAAGACCTGACCCTTGCACAGAAAACCCTGCGTAGTTGACCTCCATAACTAACTCCCTTGTTCGTCCTTTTTTCTGGAATGTTCAAGAGTACTGTTTCATCCAGGTAGCTGAGACCCAATCACTCAGCTATTACTACATCATAAATTCATTCATCCGTTCTGAACCAATGCATGCCTAAGAATTGCCAGTTGATGTATTAAATGGATTGGTTGAAGTTATTTTGATGTAAATAGAGCAATTGCAGGCATAATCTTAGCAGGAAAGGATAGTGTGATCAATTCATAATTTTTTGGTCTGATTCAACCTACATAATTATTGTATAATTATAAGTTATTATTACTAATGAAAATTAGTAGTAGCTACTATTTTTGAGTGTTCACATCGCACCAGCTTTGTATACATGATTTTATAAACCATCCTAACAACTCTGCAAAAAACTAGTTCTCTTTCTCATTGCACCTAAGAAAACTGGGGCTCGGAGAGCAGGGTAACTAGCATGAGGCCCGCAGCTAGTGAAGTTAAAAACTCAGCGTCACATCCAGGCCTGCTTTAACGCAGACTTCATGCCCCTTGGTGGTGCTGAGAGTGATTGGCTTTGAGGAGCCCGTGTCGTCCCCGTTTTACAGGGAGAAATTTACTCCCTTGGCTCCAGAACGCCAGTCTCTGCCCCTACAGCTGAGGAGCTGGGTGCTCTTCATCCCACAGTAGCAATCGGCTCCTCTGCTCATGTCTGTCTCATTCATCCATTTATTTACCAGTGGAGAAAGTCTCGTCTGCAGATCCATGACAGCCACTAGCTTAGGCTTCCTGTCGCTCCTCCAGCACCTCCTATGGATTGAGTAATTGACTAACAATAAGAACCGTCTGAAGCATTTCAATTAAAAGGGAATTCCTAAGGTTCTTCATCTCTTAGCATATAACAAGCCCTCCTCTTTACTAGTTTAATTAGAAGAAATAACATCTTCACTCTTTCTTTGGTTAACTGTTGCATTATTGGACCCCAGCTTGATCTTGAGCTACAAAAAATAATAGTAACTCTTAAGTGGATTCTTTGTTTAAAAGAAGTCTTAGATAGAAGCCCTCCCTGAAAACAGATGAGAGAAAGCTGCTTTAACTGAAGGGGGATGATGTGAAGGGTCTCCTTACTCCCCAGCTAGCAGAGCCAAAGGCACCTCTGTGGTTCCCCTGGGACTCTGAGAGGCATCGTGGGACAGCAAGGGGCTACAGAGCAGGAAAGCCTTTGAGCTTTGTCTGTTAATTCAGTAAATACTTGTGAGCGCCGTGTGCCCAGCACCGTGCTAAGTACTAGACATGTGGAAATGAAAGATAGTAGCCCTGCCCTCCAGAAACTCAGAGTGTGTGGAACAGAAGGAGAAGGTGCCGATGTTTACAAGACAAGTGATGTACAGAGGTCGTTTTTCTCTTTATTTGTGGCTGTGAGGCACAGCAGAGCATCGGTAGGGCACTACTTTGGAAAACCTGAACAGGACTTGTAACTCAGAGCAGAAGTCTTCTCCTTTAGCTTCAAGGATGCTCAAAGTTCCCCCGCCCCTCAAGAGCTGATCTTGAAGCACATAGTGTGTGTTCACTACAGTCCTGTGCAACCACCGGGTAGCCTTTCCAAAGAGGATCGCTGTCTGTAAATTATTCATTACTTTTACATAATTTCATTCTTTTATTTAAGTCAAATTCTAGACACAACAAAAAAGAAAGAGAAAAAAATGCAATAAAAATTTTTGTCTTCTTATTATGATTTTTGTTTTGTAGGAGAAAATCAAAAATCTAAATGACTTTTCAGTAAGATGTTCCAGTGCATTCCCTGCATAATGTTAATTACCTAATGGCATTAGTGCGGTGTGCTGTTCAATAGTCCCTCACAATTAGCTGGCAAAGTGCTTTAACATCCATTATCTCCTTTGGGGATCGCAAAGGCTCTGTAAGTGAAGCAACCACCTAGAGCTTTGTTTTACAGCCACTGAAACTCTGGGTCAGATTAAGCTATCTGCCCAGAATCACACACCACATACAGTACCTATGCTGCAAAGAGGATGAGGTCTACAAACACAGCAGCCCCAGTTTAGTCTTGAAATCCTGCTTACCAGCTATGTGGCCACAGGCAAATCCTTTCATTCCCCTACAGTTCCTTTATATGGGATAAGCAACCACGTAGTCCTCAGTATGAGGGAATGGACCTTCCAGACTGGGGGAGAACCCTGGACCCAGGGCTCGGCAGTGGCTTGAAGTTTGGATGGCTGGAGCCCAGCGTGTGCATGACAAATGAGACTAATAGTGGAGGCACAGGACACATCATGAGGATTCTATGTGTCAGGCTAAGAATTTTCCATGTTATCTTCCAGGCCAGGGGATTCTGAATAGTTTCATCCCCTCTCTTTATCAAAAATGATTATAATAACTTGTAAATTACTTTCTCTGTCATTATAGTCATGCACTTTAAAGCATACACTATAAAACATACATGGGATACTGATTATAAAAGATAATGATGAAATAAATAATACTTTTACACATGTTGCTCCACTCACCTGTGTCGACAGGTACGTGCGGTCAAGGACGAAGCACGACGTTGACATGCGCATCGGAATCCACTCGGGCTCCGTGCTGTGTGGTGTGCTGGGCCTGCGGAAGTGGCAGTTTGATGTCTGGTCTTGGGATGTGGACATTGCAAACAAACTTGAATCTGGAGGAATCCCCGGGTAAGCCGAAGCAAAGCCCTCTTCTTTCCTAACCTGTGTCATTTGCTCACTTTGTGACAGTGGGTTTCCTGTGTGCAGAATTCAAAGGTGTAGATCCAAGAAGCAATTATTTTGGAGGAGACAGAACACTAAAATATCATTCAAATGTTGGCCCCAAAAGCCTCATGACATTGATCACAGGCAATGAGGATGGTAAGACAGTACTCGGGTGTTCAGGACCCAGCTCTGAAAGCATCCCTTTTCAGACTTGACATCACATTGCACCCAGCAGAGGAGCATTTTAAAAATATTGTTGTCCAGACCCCGTACCAGTTCATGCTTTCAAGAATCTAGCTTTGAGCTTGATCTGAGAAAGGGGCCTGGGACATCTATTTCATGGAAGGTCAAATGGCTTTTTTATTCTCCCAGGTCAACACTGAGCTCCTGTGTATTAACTAAATTTATCATGGGAGTATTTTGTAATTAGCACATTTCTCAAGAGAACTCGGAACATCTTTCACATGCTTTTAGTTTTAATATAGGCATATCTAGGAGATTTTGCAGATTTGGTTCCAGACCACTACAATGAAGCAAATATCACACAAATTTCATGGTTTCCTGGTGCATATAAAAGTTATGTTACACTATACCGTAGTCTGTTAAGAGTGTAATAGCATCATGTCTAAAATATATATACAGACCTTAATTAAAAAAAACTTTATTGCTAAAAAATGCTAACCATCATCTGTGCCTTCAGCAAGTTGTAATCTTTTTGCAACAGTAACATCAAAAATCATCGACCACAGATCACCATAACAAATATAATTATAATGAAAAAGTTTTGAAATGTTTCGAGAACTAGCGAAACATGACACAGAGACATGAAGTGAGCAAATGCTGTAGGAGAAATGGCGCTGCTAGATCTGCTCAACTCAGGGTTGCCACAAACCTTCAATTTGTTAAAAAGAAAAACATCTGTGAATGGCAAAAAGGGGCAAACAATAAAACGAAACATGTCTGTAGCTTACCTCACCTTTGAAATCAGTGACCATCGCCAAGGATACTTATCTGGAAAATGTGCAGAATGTGCCTTAAATGATCAGAAATGCACTGTTTGTAGTTTCGGTTTCTTTATATGTCCTTTACAGTGAATTCTTCTCTGTGTAAGCAAGAACTTATCAGGATGGGTAAGAAAGGTGACCAGGGGAAGTAGAGATAATATTAAAAAAAAATTAGTGTTTCCTTGGATATACTGTTTCTAGAATCACAGAAGCCAAGTCAAGTCTTAAGTATCTACCTTATTCATTCATTCATTTGAGACAGCAGTGAAGTCAGCCTAGGGAAATGACTGGGAGCGGAATCAGTGGGTAGGAAATTGCCATGTGGGCAGCATGGGGTGAGCATTGTAGGCAGGGACAATGGCTTTTTCTGAGTTTGGTAGGCACCTTGCAGTTGAAGAAATGCCAATTACTTGACTAGCTGGAGAGAGCATAGGGTACTATAAGGGAGGGGTGTCAAGAAATGAGCCTTGAAGTAGCAGGGTGCAGAGGGTGGAGAACTTAGAGACCTTGTTCAGAACCTAGACTCTATCCTAGGAGCCTTGAGAAGGCATGAAATAAACAACAGAAATAAGGTATTGACATTTTTGAAAAAATTCTTAATAATTTAAGCATTTGCTTTTATAGCATATACAGTGTACCAGCCACTGTTTTGACTACTTCACACAAATCCATTTTTGTGGGTGAGAAAACAAACCCATAGAAAGGTTAGGTAACTTGCCCAGGCTCTCTCAGCTAGCAAGCGGTAGTAGAGCTAGGGTTTCAATCTGAAAAGTCCATGCTTGACCACCAGGTTAGTCTACCCAGAGCAATGAGTAGTCTGGCTGAGTTACATAGTTATGAAAATAGAAAAACTCTTGCCTGGAAGGATTCACCATGGGAAGTCCCCACGATTCAAATCTGATTTTAAGGCCCTTGATGTCATCTGTTGTTTTGCTAAAAAGAGAACTTGAGTGTTGAGCTCTGATGGCGGGTAATGTGAATCTCTTACCTTGTGAGTGAGCCAGCCGGCTGCCAGCCTACACGTGTCCACAGCTTTGATCTTATCTGCTTCCCATACGTGCGTTGCAGGAGAAATTGCATCTTACAGTGGTCTCCCTGAAGGACCCTCCTTGTAGCCCTGCAGACTAAAAAGACCTCCCTTTGTTCTAAAGATGATTATAGACAAGGTGAAGAAACAAGACACAAATATGTGAAAACTGAAATGATAGGAAAAGTTCCAAGACACTGAGAACTACTGTTGCATGGAAATCTGGACAATAATTACCGCTAAGGTTCAGAAACATTTATGGAGCTTACTTTTCCAAAATAATCAACATGACTGAAAAATCACTGATTCTTAAAAGTTGCTGGGCTCAGGCTGATAGTCCTAAGAAAAGCCAAGGAAGTGCTTAAGTGTGGCTTAATGGAGCCGCAATTCACCAGAGGCTGCAGCGTCAACTGGGGTGACGTTGGTGATAGACACCCTCCCTGCTCGTGGGTTGATGCTTACACTTCTGTTTTCTTTTATGATCTCTGCTTTTTCAGGGGAACAGATACTGCCCTTGAGGGCATGTCCTCACAGCACCCACCTGCAGCCCTGATGTTGGGTGTGCACAGGACCAAAAACGGCAATGGACTTTGCAAGCCACGTCAAGTGTGTAACAACCTATGCTTTGTCCACACAGGAGGATTCACATTTCCAAAGCCACCCTGGACTGCCTCAACGGGGACTATAATGTGGAAGAGGGCCATGGAAAAGAGAGGAATGAATTCCTGAGGAAGCACAACATAGAGACCTATTTAATTAAGCAGCCTGAGGACAGTCTACTGTCTTTGCCCGAAGACATTGTCAAGGAGTCTGTGAGCTCCTCAGACAGGAGAAACAGTGGGGCAACGTTCACAGAAGGATCCTGGAGCCCCGAACTGCCCTTCGATAACATAGTGGGGAAACAGAACGTAAGTCCTGGCTTCCTTCTTCTGGTTAGCCACGAATGCATGTGCCAGTGAACCTCCAACCCAGAGATGCCTCAGAGAAAACCAACTCGTCTTTAACCTTTTCTCTTGAGCACTGTAATTGCAAATGATCAAACGTATCTCCTCAGGACAGAATTAACCTGGGTATGCCGTCTAAGGAAAAGTCCAAAACTGTCAGAGGGCTCCCAATACCCTCTCTCTTTTCCTTTTTTTGACGTAGCTAAAAATTGTGAAGCTCAGTTATAATTTTACCAAAAATAATTACTCATGTTGGAAAAGATAAACCTCATGCTATTAAACTAGCAGCAAAAGCGGAAGTTCAAGGCCACAAGAATGCCATTTTTCAGGTAATTGGCCAGCTGAGAGTACTGATTTGCCCTCTGAAGTTTAAAACCAGAGGACACTGTTGATTTGGAGATGTAAAAGCTGCCCCCAGGGAGGTCAGGGTGAAGGCGTTCAGGAGGAGCAAGCAATTTCAAAGCCACTCACATAATGCTATTCTTACATAGTTTGGATTTGCATCTTCTGTGAGGAATAGGGCAGTGAAGTCAGTACATAAGGTGTAAATTATTAATAATCAAATTGTTTTTAATTATATCTTCAAATACTAGAATCATGCTAAACCCAGTGAGATGCTCTGATGACAAGAGGCACCAGAGAACTGAGGCTGATGAAGGGAGAACCTCAGTGGATTCAGAGGTGCTCCCTTCCCCAGATGCTTGTTCAAGGCACGGGCAATATCACCTGCTCTGACATGGGTTTTCCCTTTAGTCCTTTAGGCCAAGCATGTATAGTTGAACTCATGTAATTTGTATGGCTTCAGTGTACTTTTTTAAAGAAACAAACAAACAAACAGACAAAAAGACTTGTAAACAGATTCTTCTAAGCCAAAGAAAAGCTGAGGGTACTATGAAGTAACCAGACCCAACTGATAGCATCTGGAGCTTTGTGAAGACATATATGAGTTAATTGTTTTAATCCATGGACCTGAACATTTCTCATTAGCTTATCGTTTATATTATATTAACTTGTGAAAAAAAATCTGTCTGCTTAAAGACGTTTAAAGTGGAAAAGGTTAAAGGACTGAAAGTCCTGCCTCTTTCTTCTGCATTTGAAGGATGGATGGGGCACCCTGAGGCCAGGTTAAGCTCGGTCTCCCTTCCAGCTCTGTATGAGGGAGCGATGGATGAATGCATGGACCAGGCTCCACTGGGCAGAAGCGCAGGGTGAACCCAGCCCGCATGCCTCACAGGAGTCTACCCTTAGGCCTTCTCTGTTCTTTTGTGAGTGTTTGCTTTCCCCCAGAATTATCACGCCCACACGAGTCATCACTGATTTCGATGCCTACCTCCTTCCATCCCTGAATTGATGTGCATGGTACAATTTGCTATTACACAGAAGCACAGTGTTACACACTTCCTGGAGTAGGCGCGTGCCCAGTGGAAGGTGCCCTAGATTTCTTCTGCCTGTTGTTAGCTTGAGCCTGAATGCTGGTTATTTAAAGAAAATGCATGCCTCACTCTGAACACCTCAGCAACTCTGCATACAGTTGTCTCTCTTGGTTTTTTTTGGCCTTCGTTTTCTTTTTGGTCTTTCTTTTTGAAAAACTCTGTCCATTTGAGCTGATTGTGGGAATGGGGATAATTCTCAACTGTTCTAATCTCAGTGTACCTATCCTTGCTACTAAGAATTGAGGACCCAGAAGAGAGGTAGAGATGCTTGGTTTTATCTCATGATTGATTGATCTAGTAAAATTATGTAGGAACACTTGAAATATTTCTCTGGTGATTTCCTAAAGATATTTACTGATGTCATCAAACAGCTATTATAAATGATGTCATTATTAGTCAAAGATTATTATTCTTGGTGTTTAACCATACTGTATATTTCTTACAATGCCTGAGTTTTGCCTGTATTCAACCCATCTGTGACATCTTTAACATGAATAATCTCAACTCATTTTGATATCTTCAGACTTTAGAGCCAATGAATGTATGCTGATATTCGTAAATAACCAAGTGGCACTAATAACATTTTGGAAATGATCAAGTCAATTAAATGGTCACAAGCACGCAGAGTTTGCACTTATGCTTAGCTCTGGAAGTCAGTGAGCCATGTGTGCAATTCAGAGACATAATTTGTGCCTGGAAGAGATCGAGACCGGTCTGGCTGAGCCGGTGCTCTGCCAAAACACCCAGTCAGTACTGCAGAAAGGTCAGACCAGCTGAGTGTTTGCATAACACAGATAAAACATATTAATGCTTCACTGGGGGGTTTCTAGCTAAATTGGCCAGATGTTTTGGCTTCTACTGATTCGTGAACTGTGCTCTGAGATATTTTTAATGACATCGGCATGCCATGCCATAATCTGACCTGTATAGACAGCAGATGTTCAGATAATTACATGGTCATGTATTCATTCATTCAATAAAGATTAATTGAGCATATATTACATGCCAACTACTGCTAGTAATAAAAGAGCAGGAGGGATAGAGGAAAGAAACTTTTTAGAGAAATTCAGCCATTAGTTTATATACTTCATGAAGCCAGGAATTGTATCTGTTTTCCCCACCACTATTCAGTCCACAGTGCTTAATAAATAACAAGACTTGCTTACAGTTTGCTGAAAGAATGAATGAATTAAATGATAGGTATGGGTGGTAAAGGAGAGGACCCAGTCAAGTTTGACCACTAGGTTTTTTGCTTTGGTGATTGGGTGGATGGTAGGACTGCCCACTGAAATAAGCAATACTGGAATGAAAGGAGAGTGGGTGAGAAACTCCAAGAACTTAGTTGAGGACACGTTAAGCTTGGATCCAGGGAGAAATATCCAAAAGGCTATTGAACCCACATTTCTGAAGCTCAGGCATAAAAGAATTGTGCAAGGGACGTGAGTCGCAGGCACCAGAATTTGAGTGCTGGAGCCATGAGAGTGAAAGAGATCATTATAAGGAACATGTAAAGTAAAATAATGAGAAGGCACAGGACAGACCTCAGGAAGACCGATGGAGGTGAAAGAGAGTCAGGATCCCATGACAGAGGCAGAGAGGGAGCAGTCAAAGTGATCAGAAGAGGATCAGGGGATGTGGTGCCATGGAAGCCTACAGAGCAGAACATTCTGAGAAGGACAGGGTAATCAACAATGTCAATTGTAGCCAAGAGGCCCAGTAAGATGAAGACTGAAAACTGTCACCTGGAATTGGATTGGAAAACGTCATTGTCAAGAGGCAGGTGTGATGCAGTGGTGAAGTCAGAAGCCAAATTGTCCCAGTTGACATAGGAGAGCTCTGGATTTCCAAGAAAATCTCCAACTCCATCCAGTCCCCTCTCCACTACCCATTTCAGGAACCTGTCAGTGGTTTGGAGGAGCAGGAGAAGTCACTTAGCATTATTTCTGGCTCCCATGTGAGTCTTCCAGTCCCTGTTTACGCCTGAAGGTAACTCTTGGTTTTGATGTGATGCATCTTCCCTGCCCTTATATCTGTGTCCAGGGTTAAAATTTTTGGTTTAACCCAGTTTGGGCACTGGTATCCAGGTTGCTCTTGGATACCCTGAGCACTTCTGCTTTGCATCCCTGACTGCTGACATGGGCAGGTGTTCCGCCCACAGATTTTGTGTCCTGGCTCCTTGATCCCTGGCCCAAGTTACCCGTGAGTCTTCCTATGTTCTGAGCCTAGGAATGGGATGAAAGTAAGAAAACTATAAAGCAAGAAGTTTATGATCACAAATGGACAACTGAAATGTAAGGTGACAAAAGTAGAAGGAGGTAGTTGAAGTACACCAAAAGTGAACATTTTGACCTGGGGGAGGATGTCCAGAAATTTCAAGGCTAAATTGTTGAATGAGTCATCAACATGGTCATCGAATCTCTCAGAATAAAGACAAAATTTGAGATGAAAATGAAAACTTAAGAAAAGGGCCTTATATTACAGATCACATTTTTTCCTTTCTGGTTGCATGTTATAATGCAAATCTATTTGTAGGCTTGAGCTCTTGTTCAGTCAATTATTTAGAAGTCTTTAATAGTCTAGATGCTGAGGATCCAGTAATGAGAAGACAGACTTGGTCGCTGTCCTCCATGAGCTTACATTTTAAGGGAGTAGAGAATACAGACAATTAACCAAAATGCCTAAGTGCTGAGAAGGAAATATAGGTGGATATGTGACTGGGGAGCAGATAGAATTACTGCAGTTAAGATCATCAAGAGACCTCTTAAAGTTTGACCTGAGTGCTGAAAAGACCTTGAGTTTTAATAACCAGGAAAAGAGCACTGTAGACAGAGGAAACAGCTAGTGCAAAGGCCCTGAGGTGGGAAAAAGTTTGGTGTATTGAAAGAAGAGCAAAAATGCCCAAATGGCTGGAGCATAGTGAGTAGGGAAGAAAAGAATACAAGATGAAGTTAAAGGAGATGGAAGTCAATCCTGCAAACCTGGTTGACTTTGGATTTTATTCTAAGGGAAGTGATAGAAAGATTGTAAGCTGGCCAGTGACGTGATCTGATTTAGACTTTTAAGAGACCACTGTAGCTGCCTGTGGAGAATGAATCGTAGGGGGCAAGAATGGACGCATCAGAAAACCAGCATCTTTACTGATGATTTACAAGTGGCTACCAAAGGGTGAAGCTTTTATGTCACTATAAAATGTATTGTATGTGGATGTGAATCATTTTAACTTGATTTTTATGACAAGTGATATGCCAAGAGAGGTGGAGCCACTCTTTTAGAAGGAAACCCCCTTTCAGAGCCTGGGTTATGCCCCTCATATATTGAGAAATCATTACCATTGTCCATCCATCCCTTTCACGCTTATCATAGCATCAGAACCTAGACATCTTTCTATTACTCCTCCAGATCTTTTAAAAGAGTCACCCGGGGAAAAGTACACAATTGGTACTTCCATGGTATATATTAGTTGTATCTCCATGTAGACTGACTTTGGTTATTATTGTTATCATGAAGTTCATATGTGCACCATGAAGGTTG